ATAATCATCTATAGCAAGGATGGTGTGATCCTCCTCTTGCTATAGATGATAAAACACAGGTCAAAAACATTAAACATTTGCTTAAAGACACCCTGCTACTGAGAGATAGGTCTGAAATGTAGATTCAGTTTTGATTCCAAAAATCTACCCTCTGTTACACTCAGCATTTTGAGGGATACTCTGCAGAGGAGAGGCATTTCTCTCAACACACGCACGTGTGCGCACGCGTGCACACACACACACACACACACACTTCTGGGTAGAGAATGGAGTTGAAGAGTTAGACATGCATACCTTACAGGATTCTGACTTTAGAAGACACCTCCTCCCCAAGCCAGCTGAGCAAACTTCTGGTGGTGACTTTAAATAATATCCTATCAAAACCCAGGAGAATCTCCATGTGCCTATGTTTCAGAAACTTTATCTTTCATTCCCATTCCCTGTGAGGGGTGGTGAAATGGGCACAAGCTTTCTTGAGAGGCAAAACAAAATGTTAAGTGTGCATAAATGCTTTTCTAGTTCCTTTGAACTAGAAATCCCACTTCTAGGATATTATCCAACAGAGATGAAAAAATATAGACCTAGTGAGGGAAATTTATATGTACTGAAATTGAATTTACTTCACAAAAAAATTAGGACAAAAAAGCAAGTTGAGAACAGTGGAATATTATCCTATTGAGAGGAAAATAATTTTATCAATGTAGGTATATGTTGTATATCTGTCCAGTGCACACCAAATAATAGTGTTTATCTTACACATTTCTGTTTTGCTCAACTTTTTTGTAATGCACATATAACAGTACTTTTAAAAATAGATCAAAATAGGCCAGGCACAGTGGCTCACACCTGTAATCCCAGCACTTTGGGAGGCTGAGGATGGTGGCTCACCTGATGTCAGGAGTTTGACCCCAATTAATGGCTACCATTGAGACACAATCTCATCATGGCCAACATGGTGAAATTCTGTCTCTACAAAAGATACAAAAAGTAGTGAGGTGGGGTGGTGGGTGCCTGTAGTCCCAGCTACTTGGGAGGCTGAGGCATGAGAACCGCTTGAACCCAGGAGGCGGAGGGTGAAGTGAGCCAAGATGGAATCACTGTATTCCAGCCTGGATGACAGAGAAAGACTCCATCTCAAAAGAAAGAAAGAAAAAAAGACCAAAATGATATCCAAAAAATTTAAATGCAATGAAATCTCAGTCTTCTCATGCTCAAAAAACTGGTTCAGCTTTTGGCCTGTTCAGATTTTTTTTCAATAAATATGGTAATATCTATTTCTTAAAGTTATTTAAAGTTACAATTAAAGAATAAAGTCAAAAAAACTTATTGTATCTACTCTATTCATTTTCCTTTGATTTGGATTAATTTTGTAGACTTTTTTAAGTATTAGATTCTCAATTGCACATTTAATAGTCCTTCCGTAGTACAATTCTAATTACATAAAATAAAACAGAAAGAAGAACACTGATGTCTTCTTATAGAAGATTCAGAGCTGACTTAAATCTCAGGGAGAGCTGAAAGTTGCTTTCAACAGGGAAGTGGTGGGTTTAGAAAAAGTTTAGTTAATTGGTGATTTTATCTTATTACCTATTATTGGTTTTCAAAGTGACAAAATCAATCTTGCAACAGATGTGTCTATCTTATCCTGAATATTACATGAAAAGATGAGCTCACAAAATCAATGAAGCATATTACCTCTAAGTCAGTACTTAAAAGAGAAAAAAAAATCAATATATCCAGACTGAGAGTTAAGACATATTCAGATGAAACAATCTACCAGACAAAAGAGCCTTAGAGCAAAAAGAAGAAATTTGACAGAATTCCCACTAATAAAAAACAACTTTTGCCCCAGTTCCAAAGAAATGTGCTTACTGCAAAAAACATAGAAAATATAAAGTATAAAGAAGAAAATTTAAAATAATAATCTCATACCCAGAGGGAGTCTCTGCTAATATTTTTGTTGTTACATTTCATATTTTTCTATAAATACACACAATATTCACAAAATTAGAATCAGAGAACACATTTTTTTCTAACATAAAAAAACTCCATAGTGCACTTTTCCCTCAATTCTCAGACTATTCTTGTAATATTAGATTTTCGATGGCTCTTTATGTTAAACTTTTTGCCATTATAGTAACACTGTGATAAACAATCTTGTAAGTCTATCTTTATCTGTGCTTATTATGCTAAATAACATTGAAAGAGAGAAAAATTCCCTATCCGCATTGGGAAATTTCCAGGGAGCAGTATTTTCTCATCTGTTCTTTTTATAGCACATTAACTAACTGTTTTATCAGTATCTGTCACTGATCACTCATCTATTTCTGATTACATTGGGCAAAAAAGAATAATGAGTCAAAATTGATATGGTAAGTTGTAATAGTGTATTGTCTCATTCGGGGAAGATGGCATTACTGACTCAAAATTTACAAGAAGTGAACTCGAGTGTTTTTGGTGACAATCTGATACCCTCTTACCCAGCAGCATAGTCCTGAGGTATGGCTGACTTTCTATATATGGACTGGTTCCAGAATTCAGCCCAGGCAGGCAATCTGAGCTCCAAAGTCTGACCTGGCTGAGCTATTTAAACTACATTAATTACTCTGAAGGGATTCTGTGTCTCTGTTTTATAACAATCAACAATCATCATCATAAATGAATTATAATATTATTTAATTTATAATAGTATAACATCCCAGTACTTACAGTGTGCCAGGAATTGTATTAAAGCTCTCTACTGAGATCTCCCTCAATCCTCACAACCACTCTATGTAGACAGCACAGCACCCAACGCTTTTATTCCCATTAGCAGATGGGGACACAATTAAAGTACTTGCTCAACATCACACTGCGATAAGTGATGGAACCAGTGCCACACTGGTCCGACACCAAAGTCCAGCATCTTGAAATCACCAGCCTGCACTGACTCAAAGGGTTTCTTCCTTCTAGTCTCAATGTACAAATGACAATCAGAGGGTGAATGAGGCAGGGCTCAGGCTGAATGCCTGGGTTGTAAGGAACTACAGGGATAGCTGTGATAAATTTTCCATACTTTACACATCAGAAAACCATGCCTCTGAGAGGTCAAGCTTCTTGCCCAAGGTCACAGAGCTGATGATTACTGGCAAAGGTGGACCAGGCATCAGGGACTCTGACTCCCAGTCCAGGGCACTGCTTCCATACTCCACTGCCTCCCTTACTGGTGTGGTTAGGATCTCAAGTGCTGTGAGCTCCCTGGGGCAGCTCCCCTGGAGTAGAACTAGAGCGGGGTCTTGGGACTCACATGTATGTGTGATTGCAGCCCAGCTCAGTTGCTGACTTGCTTCATGACCTTGGGTAAGTTCTAAACAACTATGGGTATGTCACAGTGATGGTGGGGAAATTAAAACAAGGAAATGCATGTAAATGCTTACTACACATTCAACCCTCAATAGTCAGCCATCTTAACATAATCATGAATTCAACATTTGCAAGAGGAAGAATTCTGGGGCCTTTCATCTTAGAAGCTCAATGAGAAGACTTAGTCATATTTCCAACCATTTCAGGCTATGGAAATTTTTACTTTGTTTTTATAACCTGCAACTTGCACGCTTTGGTGTGATGCCCATCATAATAAAAAGAAAATAGTTTTTAAGATCCCAAGTGTACCTCACTTACTCATGTAAAAAGAATTGTCTGAATTATCTTGCCACACACTGTACTAATGAATCCCCCAATTTCACAGAGACCCTGGCCTCCTAAAACACCAAAAAAGGCTGTTCTTAACTCTGTAGTTCTTCCCTCTATGAAAAGAATATGTGTGACATAATAAAAAATAAAATAAAATATAAATATACATTTGGTCTCTGCTCCCACTTCCTGACATAAGACTCCTAAAACTCTAGAAGCATCTTTTTTTCCTAATATTTGGTCCTAAATCCCTTGGGGTTTCCTGTGTGATAGGAGTGTCTTTTGTTCTAATGAGGTAACTCTTGGTGGGCTCCTGGATAGCTTCAAGATGAGGACTGGGCACCAGACAGACCAAGCCATGATTATAAGGTTGGAACCTTAAGCCCCGCCCACCATCATCTGGGGAGGGGAAAGGAACTGAAGACTGAGTTAATTAATCATGCTGAGGTGGTGAAACCTCAATTTCCTAAACTACGGGCTACGCAGAACTTGTGGGTGAATGAACATGAGGAGGTGCTGGGAAGGTGGTCACCAGAGAAGGTATGGAACCTCGGAACCTCCTTTCCCACATGTTGCTCTATGCACTCTTCATAGAGGTGCATAGAACATAGGCTGTTCATTTGCATACTTTATCATAACTGGTAAGTAAGTAAAGTGTTTCCCTGAGTTTTGTGAGCCCATTAGAGGAAATGATTGAACCTCAGAAGAGAGTCATGAGGACCTCCAATTTGTAGCCAATTTGGTCAGAAATACCAAAAGTCCAGGACTTGTGATTGGTGTCTGAAGTGGGAGCAGTCTTGTGACACTGAGCCCTGGTGTCTGATGCTAGCTCCAGGTAGAAAATGTCAGAACTGTGTTATAAGACACCCAGTTGGTATCAGGAGAGATGGAGAATAGATTTTTGGTGTGGAAAAACCCTACACATTTGGTGTCAGAAGTGTTTTGAGTGTAGAGAAAACAGTTTTTCTCTGTTAATATTCACATCCCTTCCATTTTGGCACTATCATCACACCCCACCAAGATGTCAGAACAGTCTCAGAGTTAAATTCTTTCATGCTAAAACATTGCTGAGCTATTTATGTCCATTCTTTTTTTAAACTGAGATATAATTCACATACCATAACATTCATTTCCTAGGTTGGGCACAGTAGTTCACATCTATAATCCCAGCACTTTGAGAGGCTGAGGTGGAAGAATCACTTGAGCCCAGGAGTTCGAGTCTGCAGTGAGCTATGATTTGTGCCACTGTACTCCAGCTTGGGCAACAGAGTGAGACCCTCAATTTTTTTTTTCACTTTCTAAAGTGTATAGTTTAAAGTATACAATTTGTGCTCACTTCAGCTGCATATATACTAAAATTGGAATAATACATAGAAGATTAGCATGGCCCCTGTGCAAGGATGACATATAAATTTGTGAAGCATTCTGTATTTTAAAAAAAAACAAGAACAAAAAATAAAGCATACAATTCAGTGATTTTAGTGTATTCACAGAGTTGTGTAACCATCACCATAATCAATTTTAGAAAATGTACATCACCTCCCAAAACATGTAACCCTGTACATGGTGGCCATCACTCCACTCCCCCAGTTCCTCTCACATAGGCCCTGATAACTGCTAGTCTTCCTCTGTCTCTAAGGATTTGCCCATGCTGGACATTTCATATAATGGGATCATAGAATATATGGCCTTTTGTGTCTGGCTTCTTTCACTTAGCATAATGATTTCGAGGTTATCAGTGTTGTAACATGCATGGATATTTCATTTCTTTTTTATAACTGAATAATATTCCATTGTATGTGTATACCACGTTTTATTTATTCATCAGTTAATGGACATCTGGCTTGTTTACATTTTTTGGCTCTTATGAATAATGCTGTTATGAGCATTCAGATAAATTTTTTTTTAATCCAAAAATAATTTTTTTTGAATGTATGTTTTCACTTCTCTTGGGTATATACCTAGTGGTGGATTGTTGGCTCATATAGTAACTCCAAGGTTTAGCATTTGGAGGACGTTCCAGGTGTTTCCTACAGGGGTTGTACCAATTTAAGTTCCTACCAGCAATGCTTAGGGCTTCAATTTCCCGCATCCTTGTCAACACTAGTTTTCTTTCTCTTTCCTTCCTTCCTTCCTTCCTTCCTTCCTTCCTTCCTTCCTTCCTTCCTTCCTTCCTTCCTTCTCTCTCTCTCTCTCTTTCCTTCCTTCCTTCCTTTCTTCCTTCCTTCCTTCCTTCCTTCCTTCTTTCTTTCCTTCTTCTTTCTTTCTCTTTCTTTCTTTCTTTCTTTCTTTCTTTCTTTCTTTCTTTCTTTCTTTCTTTCTTTCTTTCTTTCTTTCTCTTTCTTTCTTTCTTTCTCTTTCTTTCTTTCTTTTTCTTTCTTTCTTTCTTTCTTTCTTTGTTTCTCTTTCTTTCTTTTCTTTCTTTCCAATTATCAATCCTAGTGGGTGAAGTGGTACCTTATAGTTTATATATATATACACATATATATTTAAAATAGAGACAGGAGTCTGGCAATGTTGACTAGGCTGGGCTTGAACTCCTGGCCTCAAGCAATCTTCCCACCTTGGCCTCCCAAAATGTTGGGATTATAGGCATGCGTCACCATGCCCGTACTACACCTTATAGTACTGATGTGAATATTCCTAATAATATTGAGCATCTTTTCATGTGCTTATTGGCCATTTGTACATTTTCTTTAGAGAAATGCCATTTTTGAATTGTGTTGTTGGGTTTTCTGTTGTTGAATTTTAGTTCTCTATATATTCTGGTTATTAATCTCTTACTATATATGTGATTTGCAAATATTTTCTCCTATTCTATAGGTTGCTTTTTTACTCTATCGATACTGTCCTTTGATGCAAAAAAGTTTTTAATTCCAATTTATCTTTTTTTCTTACCTGTACCTGTGATATCATATCCAAGAAATCATTGCCAGACCCAGTGATGTGAAGCTTTTCCTCTACATTTTCTATGAGTTTTATAGTTTTAGGTCTTCTGTGTAGTTCTTTGATCCATTTTGAGTTAACTTTTATACATGGTGCAAGGTAAGTGTCCAACTTCACTCTTTGGCTTGTGAATATCCAGTTTCTCCAACACTGTTACTTCCCCATTGCCTTGGCATCCTTGTTAAAAACTATTTGATCATATATGTGAGGGTTTATTTGGGGGCTCTGTATTCTATTCCATTGGTCTTGATGTCTGTCTTCATGTCTGTATCACAACATTTTGGTTATTATAGCTCTGTAGTAAGTTTTGAAATCAGAAATCTTTTAAAAATTATTTTGGCTATTCTGAGTTCCCTATTAATTTCTGCAAAAAAAGACAGTTTGAATTCTATAGAGATTGTACTTAATCTACAGACTGCTTTGCAAAAATATTGCCATTTGAACAATGCTAAGTCTTCCATTTTATGAATACAGGATGTCTTTCCATTCACATAGGTCTTTAACAATTTCAACAATGTTTTGTAATTTTCAATATATAAGTCTTGCATGTTGTTAAATTTATTCCTAAGTATTTGCTTCATTTTCATACTATCATAAATGGAATTTTTTCTTGATTTCATTTTTGGATTGTTAATGGTTGGTTATAGAAATACAACAAATCTTGTACATTGCAACCTTGCTGAAGTCATTTATTAATTCTAACAGTGTTTTAGTGGATTCTTTAGGATTTTTTAGATATGAATACATCATCTGATAATAGAAATAGTTTTATCTCTTCTTTTCCTATCTGGATAACTTTTATTTATTTTTCTTGCCTAATTGCTCTGACTAGAACTGACAGTACATCTTTGTTTTGTTCTTGATCTTAAGTGGAAAGTTTTTGGTCTTTCACCAGTAGGTGTGATGTTAGCTGTGGATTTTGCATAGATGCACTTTATCAGGCTGGGAAAGTTCCTTTCTATTTCTATTTGGTTATTTTTTTCATAAAAGCATGTTGGATTTTGTGAAATGCTTTTTCTTTGTCCATTGAGATGGCCATGAGGTTTTTGGTCCTTTGTTCTAATAAGATATATTATACTGATTTTCATGTTTAACTCTACATTAATTTTTACTTGAATATATTACATGTTTAAGTATAGTCTAACTGAGAAGAGCTTTGTACAAGATCACAGACATTTACTATCTATTTGCAGTTCTGGCTCTAACTTGGACCTACGTTTTGGACCAAAACAGATGGTAAACTGCAACGTGACTGTAACCAAACTTCAAATCATAAACAATCTTGTATTTTGAAAAATTACGTTTATTTTAAAGAAAGGAAATATATATATGTATATATTTAAAGTAATGTTGAAAATGCATCTTTTATTGTTGAGATGGTATCTCAATGTAGTTTTGATTTGCATTTCTCTAATGACCAGTGATGATGAGAATTTTTTCATATGTTTGTTGGCCTCATATATGTCTTCCTTTGAAAAGTGTCTGTTCATATCCTTCACCCACTTTTGAATGGGCTTGTGTTTTTTTTTTCTTGTGAATCTGTTTTAGTTCTTTGTAAATTCTGGATATTAGCCCTTTGTCAGATGGGTAGATTGCAAAATTTTTTCCCATTCTGTTGGTTGCTGGTTCACTCTAATGACTGTTTCTTTTGCTGTGCAGAAGCGGTGGAGTCTAATTAGGTCCCATTTGTCTATTTTGGCTTTTGTTGCCAATGCTGTTGGTGTTTTAGTCAAGAAGTCCTTGCCTATGCCTATGTCCTGAATGGTTTTGCCTAGGTTTTCTTCTAAGGTTCTTATGGTGTTAGGTCTTATGTTTAAGTCTTTAATCCTTCTGGAGTTAATTTTAGTGTGAGGTTTCAGGAAGGGATCCAGTTTCTGCTTTCTGCACATGGCTAGCCAGTTTTCCCAACACCATTTATTAAACAAGGAATCCTTTCTCCATTGCTTGTTTTTCTCAAGTCTGTCAAAGATCAGATGGTTGTAGATGTGTGGTGTTGCCTCCAAGGCCTCTGTTCTATTCCATTGGTCTATATCTCTGTTTTGGTACCAGTACCATGCTGTTTTGATTACTGTAGCCTTGTAGTATAGTTTGAAGTCAGGTAGCATGATGCCTCCAGCTTTGTTCTTTTTGCTTAGAACTGACTTGGCTATATGGGCTCTCTTTTGGTTCCATATGAAGTTTAGGGTGGTTTTTTCCAGTTCTGTGGAGAAGGTCATCGGTAGCTTGATGGGGATAGTGTTGAATCGGTAAATTACTTTGGGCAGTATGGCCATTTTCATGATACTGATTCTTCCTAATCATGAGCATGGAAGGTTTCTCCATTTGTTTGTGTCCTCTCTTATTTCATTGAGCAGTGGTTTGCAACTCTTCTTGAAGAGGTCCTTTACGTTCTTTGTTAGTTGTATTCCTAGGTATTGTATTCTCATTGTAGCAACTGTGAATGGCAGTTTGTTCTTGATTTGGCTCTCTTTAAGTCTGTTATTGGTGCATAGGAATATCTGGGATTTTTGCACATTGATTTTGTATCCTGAGACTTTGTTGAAGTTACTTATCAGTTTCTGGAGATTTTGGGCTGAGATAAAGGGGCCTTCAAAATATACAATCATGTCATCTGCAAATAGACAGTTTGACTTCCTCCCTTCCTAATTGAATACCTTTATTTCTTTTTCTTGCCTGATTGCTCTGGATAGAACTTCCAATACTATATTGCATAGGACTGCTGAGAGAGGGCATCATTGTCTAGTGCCAGATTTCAAAGGGAATGCTTCCAGTTTTTGCTCATTCAGTTCAATATTGGCTGTGGATTTGTCATAAATAGCTATTACCATTTTGAGGTACAGTCCATCAATACCTAGTTTATTGAGAATGTTAGCATAAAGTGCTGTTGAGTTTTGTCAAAGGCCTTCTCTGAATCTATTTAGATAATCATGTGGTTTTTGTCTTTGGTTCTGTTTATGTGGTGAATTACCTTAATAAACTTGTGTATGTTGGAGGAGGATCCAAGATGGCCATTTAGGAACAGCTCAGGATTGCAGCTCCCAGTGAAAGTGCAGAGGGTGAGTGGACGCCGCATTTTTATTGCCCACAGACTAGGAAATTTCCAGGCAGAGGAGCTCCATGGTCACCAGCGCGGCTGTTTCGGCCAGTGCGGCTGTGCCGGCCGGCGCCGCTGCTTTGCCCTGCGCGGCTGCTTTGTTGGCGCCCCAGAGCAGCGGTTCTCCGTACAAAATACACCGGTTCGGGTGCACTTTTGGCTGGCGATTGGAGCCACGGGAAGTTGCCCATTCGCAAGTTCAAAAAGCGGACTGAGCAGAGAACCAGGACAATAGATTCCAGGGGAAAAAAAAAAAAAAAAGCGCCACAAACCTCAGTGCCGCTGTTGAAGCCAGCGCAGTGAGTGGCCGCAGGGGAAAACAAACAGACCCCGGCGCCTCTTCAACAGGCGACTGGAACACCAACTTAAAAAAGGCTCTGAGGCAGAGAGCCAGG